ACTTCATAATTAATTCAGAATCAAAATAAACATAAAACTTAACATAATTATCCATCATACATATAATAGAAAAAAGAGAACAAACAAAAGAATAAAAGAAACAGTAATGTAGGTATTTAACATAACAGATTGGTTAAAAGTATAACAAGTAAAAGAAGTAAAAGAAAAGAGAAAAAAAACAATTTTCAACTATATAATTTATGAATTAATTTTAACATAAATAATAAGTTCTTTCTTAAATTGACTAGGATTCTAAACATTTTTAAAATTTTGAGGCAGATAATTGAATTGATCGATCCCTTTATGAAATAAGCTTTTCACTAGTAATACCACTAGTGGTCAAAAAATTTCCTGATATTAATTTGACCTCGCGTGGTATTCGGTAAGAAAATTCCACGCCGAATTATGGTTGAAAATTAAATATTTTTAAAATTTATTTTTCGTTTCTCAACAATACAAATTATTTTCTCCAAGTCACCAGTGAAACATAAAAGGTGTTGTCGCCTCGATTGTTGAGTTGTCATGGTAACTAAGTGAGACCCTAACCTCGAATATAATTTCAGTTTTGAAGTTGTCAAGCGGCCCGACGTAAAAAAATGTTTCGCTGCAATTATTTAGGCCTTCAAATTGCTTATTTCTACTCATTGTAGTTGCATGGGAATACCATTTGAAAATAGAAAATAGTATATTCTTTAATTTTACGTAAGTTTTGAATAACTACAAGTGGTAGAAAATTGTTTTTCTGCGTTTTTATTAACATGCGTTATGAGCGCTTTAAAATGGTATGAAATTCATAACCAGCGTCAGCAAGCATCAATCGTAGGAGGCTGTGATCATTGTATTTTGACAGTTCAAAACATTAAATAACTCGCGTTTTGTTGCGATAAAGAATATTGCACAGCAAGTAAAACCAACAAAATTACCTATTTGTTTAAAAATGAATCGATCTGAAAATCATACGCTATGCAAAATATGCGTGAAATTGTCTGATGTAATGATCAATCATTGCACCATGACTTACTTAATAGAGGATTGTGGCTCCAACTTGAAAAAGGAAAATTTGTTCCGAATTTTCCACGAATATTTGCACCTAAACTACGCAAAATTCAAAGTGCTGAATGGGAAAAAGGTGAATAAATTAGTGTCTAAATATTATATATATTTTATTAGACATAGACACATAATTCAAAGCATCCAAAGTCCTGCATTTTCGCCATTAAGAAGAAAAGAAGTGGCCGAAGAATATAGAAAACACCTTAGCATTGTAACTAAAATGTATCAAAACTAAACCTATTATGTGAACAAATAAAAACCAGTCTGTCAAAAATGGTCTGTTATTGTAAACGTCAAAAAATTTCCAGTATAATTCGCTGTTGGGTATCCCACGAGAAAAAAATTTCCACTAAAATACCTCCGTTGCCATGGTGATCGGTCAAAAACACGTATTTTGATTGGTTCAAAATTACAGGTGTGGAATTTTCATAGAAATACTTTTGTTAGTTGTTTGTATATAAAATTTGATATAGTTTGCTGCTCTTGTGTTTGAGTGATGTAGTTCTGTGCCCGGGGTTAGTTGACAGTTAAGATATTCAGCCGATTTTAAATTTTCATAAAAGTAGTGATACGGTTCTGGTATAACTTTACTTGCTCATAGTTTTAGTAGGCTATTTAGCTTTGACCTTTCAAAAGGTAGAGGTTTTCTGTGTTACCAGTGTCTTAAATGTGTCGTCACTAAGCCTTTTCTTAAAGAAAATCTTGTTCTTGTCATTTTTGAGATATTGGAACCACTTAACTTTCAACCAATTTAATGTGCCCTCCTCAGATTTATTTTTGTTAGTTATTGTAGTATTTGAAAAACTCTTAAAATCAAAAAAAAAATGTTTGTCCCATTTCTTTCACCTGATAGAAAGGCTGTTTTACTTTTGCAGTTTTAGCAACCATATACCACCCTTCAGGTGAAAACACATAAATTTTGCTTGCTCTTAATTCTATGTTTTGTGGCCTTATAGCGGTTTTTCATAAAAATAGGAATAAGCTAGTATTTATCCGTGTTTGGTAATTATTTAATGGGTCCTTCTATACCCGCATTTAAACCACCGTGCTTTGGATAGATATGCGAACCACTGATTTTATCCTCACCGTCGAAAGCGATTCACGGGTCCCTCTACGACACTCTGGGTGAGCATGTGGCTGCCCTGTACTCAAGATGTCGGTCTAGCGTTTCTGCCCTGACGATAATTGTGGGTACATGATCAGTTTGGGGTAGATAGGACCTCTATTTAAGTTTAGTTAGGCTATTTATTTGGTGTTAGAGGTTTGTTTGGTTATTTTAGCCCTTTCTGTCAAAAATTTATTTCGTAATAGAGGGCACTGATAGGACACCTATTTGTCAATAAGGTATGTTGGTATTACTGGTTTGGGAGATGTCAAGTGACGTTGTTCCGTCTTGCTGAAAATTTCGAGATTCATATTCGACACGTGGATTTGTTTAAAAGGTACTGTTTTGAAATTTATTGGAATTCGTTTCAATCCATTTGGGATTTTGCGGAACAACCTTTGTTTAAGTTACAACAGTGTGTGATTGGTAGTATTTTTGGAAACCACTTTTTGTAGGAGCTCTTTTGTAAGGATATATTTAACCACGTTTTTGGATCTCATTGGTAAGTTTTCTTCTACGCAGTATTTAAAGTTACGACGTAGTAATTCTTTTTTGTAAGGCCTTCGTCTTTTATTTCAGTGCCCACATATATATGTAATCTTTCTGGATAAGCTGTTCACGAATTTGTAGTTCAATTTTATCTGGCGGTTCCTGTTTCACCTGTAGCTGTTAAGGGTAAATATAGTTTTATTTTAGTTAGCATGCTTACCTAGACGATTATAACCCTAAGTTATGCTTCTTTTGGTTGTATATATTTTCAGTATATGGGATTGACTATTAGGGGTAATATTTTGAAATCTAAGGGTGTAATTTGCTTATTAAATGTAAGTGTTGGGTAGAACTCGCTTCACGAGCCATCTTTTTGCTTTGTAAATCTGAAGATTACATAAAGCTGAACTTAATTTAACTAGTAAATGTTGAGTAGTTATTACCTATTTCTAGACCTCGCTTCACGAGAAGGCTATGTAGGTACCTAATTATTTAATTTTAACTTCTTTATTAACCAGTGATAAATAGTTATTTCTGTGTTTTATCTTACACGTTTTCTTTAGGGTTCGTGTGACGGGCTATCAATTCTTGCGAAAGCCAACACTTCTTGTCACGGGCCAGTAGTCCTTGTGAAGGGCCAACACTGCTTGTGACGGGCTGACTAGCATATCTTGTGACCAGCTAGTACTCCTTGTGATCAGCTAGTAATCGTGTAACGGGCTAGCAACCTTTATGACAGGTAGATTGTTTTTGTATGCCGAAGTAGGACATCAACCGTCTACTAGAGCAGCTGGAAAGAAGTCACAGCGTACCGCAAGTTTTGCTACCTTATTTTTTATATTACTATATAATCTATTTTATTGGGGGGTGTTATTAGTACGTATTTTAATCTAAACCTAATGTAAACGAGGTTTAGGGGTGTATGGTTTACAGTACATTTTTATTAAACCCGAAACACGTCACTAAGAGCTCTTCGTGGGGTATATTCTTAAGGGTAGTTAATATCTTTAATAAGTAACGGAGTTTTACGTTTTTATCCCTAGCGTCCGTAAATATTATTTGTTTATTTGCTAAATACAGTACACACCTCATGTGTTACTTTTTACGATTACCCTTAGCCCCATTTAATGATTTTTAAGTTTAATATAGTGTTTTAGTTGTAAATATTACTCCCAGTGATACTGGATTACTGTTAATAGTTAGGGAATCTGATAGTAATGTACTAAGTGATGTAGTTGTTAATAATTTGGTAAATATTAGTATATTTCATAGTGTGAACGAAGTTGACCCCCCATGTCAACACGATAATTTATATTACATTAAAACTTGGGTATTTATTGAACTTTACTTATTATTTATCCCCACTTGCTTACTGTCAGCATTTATTGTTATGGTAAAGTAACATATTTAATATAATAGGAGCATACTCGATTTGTAGCCGCTTGATGGCCTTGTAGAGGAGATGCTATAGTTTTCTATTTTGAGTTTGGTAGTGAACTGTCACATGGATTGTTGGATGTGAGGTTAAACTCCTGGCGCCCACTCACGAACATAACTTTTTCCACGACTCACCCCCTTCTTCACTGTTATTAGTCGGCATCCAGCATTGGATTAATATAAGTCCCACCTCGGTGCTTAGGCACAGAAAGTAGGTAGCATTTATTTTTGGCGCCCAATGTGGGGCTCGTTATTTTTTGCTTTTCATATTAGAAAAAAAAATTTTAGAACTTTACCATATTTTGAATTTTCTTGTAGATTGTAGATTATAGTATTTAAGTATCGGTTTTGTACTGTCTTGGCTCTTCTTTTATTATTTGGTGTAAGTTGTATTATTCTTCTTTTAACGCCTGATTTTATTCATTATGCTTTTTAAATTTGGTGCAGTAGTCACACTGATCCTTATTTGGTCTATGGAATCCTAAATTAAACTCAGTAGTAAAAATATTTATATAGAAACTTAACTTCTGAGGTTCAACATTTAGTTCTTTGCAATACTCCAGATAATCACTATAAAGTCTAGTTTATAAGAGACCGGATGGAAGGTAACCTCTTTAAGTTGTACTACGATAGTGGTGTGAGGACACTGTTGGTATATATTTTATCTAGTTTCTTTTAATACCCTTTATTTCGTCTGACTTTTTTTTGAGGTGATGATTCATATCTTTCTTTATATTATCGCTGGTCGTTAGTTTTGATAAAGATGTTTTGACTTTTCTGTGGGAAATGTCTAGGGTAGATAAAAAAATTTGGCGAACTTGTGTTGTCTCGTTGTTAACACGTAAGCTGTACATGTGAGTGTTATTCCTTCTAGAAGCAGCACCAGGAGCTTAGCTCCTTTTTCTGGGAAGACAGTTTACATGTTTCGCAATCTTAACCTCTTAGTTTCAAGTTTTAAGTAATTCTCTAACATAGTTTTTCTTTGATCTTCTGTTATCTTTTGATTGCATTTATAGTGGCAACGACATCTTACTTCTTTTACGACTCGTTTTCTCTTGGGCTTTCCTGTTTGAGTGGTATGGGCTTTTCCTTCCATTCTTAACTTTTTCTGCACCTTTGTCTTCCACAATGGTATATTACGTTTTCTTTTTCTTGTGCCTTCTTCATTATTACCCTCTCGTTCTTGACTTTGACCAATCCCTTGAAGAACAATGGATTTATTTTCTTCCACCAGCTCTGATGTCACTGATTTATCAAGAACCTCTTGATTTTCAGACTCTGATGCATCATTGACTGACAAATCACCGGCATCGGTAGTAGTAATTTCTGTGTAGCTTACGTTTGCAGCAGTTACTGCAAAGAAACCTCAAAAATAGCGACTCAGTAGAGTACTGTAATGAGCCATTTCCCAGCCAAGACGGACATTTTTTTTTTCAGATAAGGCAGGCACAATCTTTTTCGTAGTCTATGCGCGCGTAGATCTAATGAAACCCTCACATCATATTCCTTTTAATAAAAATATAGTAGGCTTGTGGCGTATTAATTGTGGGTGTTTGTTTACATCGTTTTAAAATTAAGGTGACCTACTAGATTTTAATTAAAAGAGATGTGATCTGCGTGCGCATAGAGTACGGAAAAGATTTTGCCCAGAGAAATATTTCCCTGCCTTGGTTGGGAAATGGCCAAAATGACCAATTTATTTCAATATGAACAAAACTAATATAATGTTAGGATATTTAAAATAGCGTTTGAAAAAATTATTCGGATGGAAAATCACTTTGCCTGCCTCATCTAGATTAGATTAGATTAGGAGTTGGACGTTATTTGTCCTTGTCCACCGCGACCTTTTCAGATCTATTGTGGGACTCCGTTTGTTTTAGAGTATGTCGTCTAGCCTGGTCTTTTTTATTAGACTTAGTAGCTTTGACAGTGGCTCCCGCATGTAGTTGCATGCAATTGGCTTTTCTTCGCCCAATGTTAGAAACCTCATTCCAGCCAAGCCTTCACATTGGCACAGGACGTGGAATGATGTTTCCTCTTCTTCTTCACAGAACCTGCACAAAGTTGCTTCTTCTGCTGGATTTATGACACTCATGTGCCTTTTGAGGCGACAGTGTCCAGTAAGAAGGCCTACTGTTATCCTAACGATTTGACGTTTTTGATCCAGTAGGTCTTTCGTAAACTTGGCCGATGGTTCCTTGATGAACTGTTTGGCCTGTCTCAGTCTTGGATAGTTGTTCCACCATTCCTGAGACTCTTTTTGCATCCATTGTTTAATGGATGCCTTGCACAGTGCCTTAGCGACTCCACAAAAGGGTTCAGGGCCTGTCATGGCCTTATCTGAGCCTTCTCGGGCTAATTCGTCGGCCTTTTCGTTGCCCTGATATCCCTCATGGCCTGGAACCCAGGCTAAGGTCACCTTATTTTGACTACTTAGCTCTGTCAGGTCTTCTAGACAGTCTTTCACCAGTCGTGATTTGATTTCTGGTGAGAGAATTGCCTTTAGAGCTGCTTGGCTATCAGAGTATATGGCAATAGTTTTGCCTGATACTTGCTGATTTAATATTTCTCTTGCACAGTGTTGTATGGCTATTAGCTCAGCCTGGAACACTGTTGCATATTTTCCTAAGCTTAGTGAAATCGTTGATTTCGACTTAGGTCCATAGATTCCAGCACCGGCTCCTTCCTTGGTTTTTGAACCGTCTGTGTACCAGACGAGTTCAGCCTGTACGGGAGGTCCCTGTTTCCAGGATTCTCGGGCTGGTATTTGAATTTGAAAATTTCTTTCAAATTTGTATGTGGTTATGGCTCTATCAGTAGGCATAACTAGAATATTATCCCTTTGTACTTGCTGATATAGCCTTGTGTGGTCGGCGCTATGTAGTTGGCTTATTGGGTTTTGTCCCTGCATTAGCCTGTGAAAAGCTGACCTGGTTTCTCCTTGTATGAAGATGTACAATGGCGTGAGATTTAGTAATACCTCCATTGCTGCGGTCGGCGTAGTGCGCATGGCCCCAGTAGCACTTAGACAGGCAAGCCGCTGAATGCTAGTGAGTTGGCCTATTGCACTTGCCTGCGCAGTTTTGGTTACCCACGCCACTGCGCCATAGGTTATCATGGGTCTTATTACCCTTGTGTATAACCATATGGTCATTTTGGGGTTTAGACCCCAGTTTTTCCCACATATTCTTCTACAGCTTACGAGAGCTATTGTAGCTTTATGTGTGAGTTTTTTGAGATGTTGATTCCATGTCAGCCTTTGGTCAAATATGACTCCGAGGTATTTGGCTTCTGTGACGAATGGGATAACTGTGCTGTTTAGTACTAGTGGTCTTAGACCTGTGAGTACCCGTTTTTTTGTGAATGGTACAACTGTTGTTTTTTGTGCGTTGATGGACAATTGTGCCTCATCTAACAAACGAACAGGCTCGGGCAGGAAAAGTGTCATTTTTCATCCTAATAAAACAAAGTACTACCCAATATTTATTTTTATTATCTTGTTGCGTCGTGATGCACTACTTGTCTTTGGCATGAAGTACTTGGCTCTTGTAAGATCTGAACTTCTAGTTTCTCATCCTGAGTAGTGGCCATTATAAGTAGGTAGACATTACAGAAAACCAGTATATTATTATATTATTTATAATTAAACCCACCATTTGGAAAAATATTGTTATCCAAACGCACCGCGATTAACTCTGTGTACTCTTGAATTATCCGTTGGCGGTTGAAGTTGTGATTCTAGAACAAAGTCGCCACGCGGTAACGTATTCTGCTTAAATTGTGGTTCACGCATATTACTGGTGGCCTCTATAAACAGAACATAGATATAGGTTAATAAACAGTGGGCAATTAATATTTGATTAAACCTACCGTTTGGAAAATGATTGGTTCCTCTGTTCCTCTGTATAAACATTTTTATTCATAGTCGCCTATTGTTGTTCTGATTCTAGAACTATCATCGCGAATTTGCTGTAAAGCATGCTATTTAATACCCTCACGCAATAAGTGCCTATTTGTCAAAAAAAAAGTTTATTTTTCCGCAAACGTCAAAAAAAGTAGACATTATTAACGTCAATTCATGATGTTGAAGTATGATTTCACAGACGCCAATTTTTTGTACGGCCGTGAGCGGACAAAAAAGTACTTTTTTGTACGCTGACGGCCGTACAAAAAAGTAGAATTTTTAACAGGGAAAATAATTATTAGTTGAACTTTTAAACTTTATTAACGATAATAATTATTAATAGTAAAATTACAGTTATTTAAGGTTGCACCGCACATATTTAATGCACTACCTGATTTATTCACTTCCAATTCAAGCGAATTTTGTGCAGAGTTGAAAGAGTTCATCGACAAAATTTCCCGTGACTCCTTGTTGTTGCTTCTGTTACATCAACGTCGACATAATTTTGCTCATTAAAAGCTGCATTCAGGTACAGTGAAGAAGAATTCGACATCAAGATTTTTTCTGCAGTTTGTTTTTTATTAGACAAAGAGTCTTCAATGTATCCTTCAGCGACAGTGCTCGACCTCCAACCTCCATGCCGTTTCAAACAAGTAATATCAGCTCCTCCATCCACAAGCAAAGTAGCTGAAGTTCTTCTTAACGCATGGCCGGTGTAATCTTTTGAATTCGGTAGTTTTAAATAAGTTGCTACTGTTTTGGGTACGTTACTAATTGTATGAATTCCCATGACCATGCGATAACATTTTCCCTTTTGAAATTTCAAAAAAAAGCGTCGGCTTTCCATAGCTTGTGGACGTAAAGAAGTATATTTTCTGTAAAGATTTATATATTTTTCTCCAATAATTGTGAACGATCGTAGCTTTTTAGATTTACTATCAGGAATCTTTATATGAATAACAGATCCTAAATCTTTTATATCGTCTATTGTCATGTTCACCATTTCATCGCATCTACATGCTCCAGATACGCCCATTATTAGAACAACCTAAAAGTAGTATGTATTTAAAAACTTGATTGTATTTATGCAGGTTAGAATATTATAACTAACCTTAATTCCTAGATATTGCTCATTAGGTGCATTATTTAAAAAATCTTCAAACTGGTCTTTTGTGAATACCTTTGACTTTTTGGGAGTATACCCTTCATTCTGCTTCTTCAGATAAGCACGTAGTTTCATATATTTGCTAATATCTAATCCATGTTTAATATTCAGTAATGATTTTATCATGGAATACTGAGACCACATTGTTGAACTCTTCATTTTTAATTTAGTTGTCATTTCAAAAAAATAAGCTAGTAGCACATTTTCCGAATAGTTTGAAATGTTTTAATCATTGCACCATGTGAGAAATCTTTCGTAAGCATGATTATAAACTCTACTTGACTTAGTTGGAATTAAATCATTCGTAGCTGCCTTAGCAATGTCAACAACGTCGGGCGGTGTACAGTTGGGTTCTGAATCCGACATAATATAATCTAAAAGAAAATTTCAGTACACTTTACTACAACAAACGAAATTTTGATGCTCAAGTACTTACCAAAAATGCACAGTCCAATTGTTGCTTTAAATCACTTACAATATTTCTGACAATATAAAATATTATTGAACTGTCAAATTTGTTTTTGACTTGGCAATCACAAAACCAGTAACCACGGAAATGTAGTGCGCAGTTTTATAATTATTATTCTCTGAATTTATCAACTTCGTTGCAATCGTTTTGAATTTTTATTTAAATATTAATTAGTTCTATAGTCTGGATGCCGTTTGCGGAAAAAATAGCATGTTTCATTCGGAGCAAAAGCACTTTTTGTGGCTCGTCTGAAATTGTCGGCCTCACTAACGTTCGGCCATCAAACATTCAGACTCGCCACAAAAAGTTATACTTTTACTCCTAATAAAACAATATACTATTATTACTCATTATTTATTTTTAAAATTTTACAAATTTCACAACTAGAAAAATAGAAACCTTTTACGCACACTGCTTTCTAGCAACTAAATAATAAAATACATTTTTTTACGCTAAAACACGATGCATAGTCAAATAGATCGTTTTACCGCCAAAACTTGCAATTTGAGAAGGCCTAACCCGCATATGTTGGTTAAGTCGATTTAAATATAAACTTTTGGCAGTGAAGTGGTCTAAGTGGTGATAGGCCGAATTTGGGCTTACAACTATTAGCAAATATCTAATAACCCTGGAAAAAAACATAATTTCACTTAGAACTACTCACTATATAAAAATTTAGTGTTTTTAAAAATATATAACGTTGTAACCCCATTTTTGTAAATTTGTGGGTCAGGCCTATTCACGTCCAGGCGACGATATATATATATATATATATAATTTTTACATTTTCCAAATTCAAAATTTGACATTTGTGTAATTTTTTTATGACTTTGACGTTATTGATAGAGTGCGCTTTAAAAACACAATCTAAGTTCCGAATTTGAGTTCCAATTATTTTCGTCATGTCGACAATAAGTTATGGACTGGTTTATGTATGGTCCTATTATTTTTTGTAAAACAAACCTCAAATGAAGCATCTACGTTTGTGTACACCCGTAACTTGCAGTTAATTTGTATCGTTTCCTAAACTGACTTTCAATTTTATTCAATAGAGCTTCGACAGTACTAGATCAATATTTCATATTTGGAACAAAATTCTCGTAGAATATTCTTCATAAATTCTTACATATTTCTCAACCGTTTTTGAAACCACACTGAAACTCAATAACTTATTACATAAATAAAGCTGAAATTTTCTTTATGTTGCACTACTCCACCCTCGATTCCATACACGCAGATACTCCTACATCAATAAAGCAAAACATAGATAGATGCCAATGATACAAGTCTGGAAAATCAAGAGAATACTTATTCGATGCACGTATTGTATTTGGAATGCATGTCAGAAGCAGAAAGTATAGAAGGGCTAGAGACACCCTATCGAGAATAGATCCCATAATCCTTTCCTTATACATACGTTAAAAGAACCCTTTTTAACGGAAATCTTCATATTTATATCTACTTACTGCTTAAACGGTTATGGTAATGCAATGATTATAGATCTAAGGCTTTATTTTGATTATGCCGCTTATTAAGTCTTCAATGGTTGTAATAATAGTTTGTGCAACAAGAGTGGATATGATGGCCTTATCGTACGAAAACGAAGTTTGAGCACAACGCCGTAGGCTGAATAGAAAAACATTTAATTTAATAAGTCTCTAATCCTAGACTGGCAAATGCGCTAGTATCAGCTTCATCGATACACCTAACATTTTAATATTAATATTCGAAATTAAATTGATTTCATATATTTTTATTAAAATTTATTATTTATTTGTAAATATAGATAAAATAATAATATAAATACGATTATTTATCGATTATACACAAGAGTAACTTATTTTAATGTATATTTAATAAATGACTATTTTAAAGAAAATAATAATAATCGTGTGACCAAAATATGAACTGTGATTGATGGATTTAATCTTTGTGCAGTGTTAATACTAGATAGAACGGATATAAAATATATTCGTTTAGTTGAGCGTAATGACATAATTTTTCTTTTTGTAGTCTGTGCGTAGAATAGCTAATATCCATGTGGTTGTAGAAAAACATTGTTTTTTAGTGTTCTGTTCATAATTTGTCATAAAGGATTACTTATGGAATCACTTTAGTGGCTGTTTGTCTGTCCGCCTATTATAGACGCTTTCTTCTAGAGACCATTACTTCATAACATAGTTGAAAATTAAAACAGTTAGTAGTTAGTAGTAATTAGTAGTAATAGTAATTAGTAGTCCACATACATGCGTTAATTAACGAAATATATTTTGTTATCTAGAGGTTCAGTTTTTAGTAATTGTTCCTAAATTACATTTTTTAGGGATTTTTTGAATGCATTTAACATTAAACAGACATTTCATACATCCATAAAATGACCATAAAAACAGGCTTATACAATTTTTTTTTTGTTAGTTCAGAATATGAATGTCCGTTCTAAATTAAATTTTTTTAGATAAATACGGGGAACTTAATTTTTTTAATTTTATAGAAACAGTAATTGGAGTAAAACTTGCGACAACTAAAATATGTACATACTTAGTGAACCCAGTTTATTCAGTTGAGAAATTATATTTCAAATATCTAGATCTAAGCCTGGAAAACAAATTTCTCTTGAACATAGTGAATAAGTAGTAAAGAAGGCCACAAAGTCCGTAATCGTATGCAGAAACATTGCAGGTAAAAAGGAGGATTAAACCGAATACACTGTGACTAATTTATACAGAAATAGTGAGACCAATCATCACTACGAGAGCTAATATATCAAAAGTACAAAGACAAGCCTGTATTTTCATCACTGGTGCAATGAGAACCTGTCCTACAGTCGCAATGAAGGTGATTTCAAATATCATGCTTCTACATTTAGTGATAGACAACGTGACAAAGAGGTTATATTTAAAATATAAAATGATCAGGAACGGAGTAAATAGACGAAAGTATACTAGCTTCAGGACCAAAGATACTTGGGATTTGCCCCAAGCCGAAATGATAAAGAAGTAATGTTCTGTAAAAAATTGAAACCACAGAGTTGGGCTGCAAGAAAGAATTAAACCAAGAATCTATCGTGCTTGCAACCGAAAGACATGTTAGTGATGTACAGATGGTCCCAAAACCATAAAAGGTACTGGAATAGTAGTGTATGAGTCTAGAACCAGAAACAGCATCTTTTTACGCCATTGAGAAGATGATTGGACCAGAAATAGATGAATAGGAGACCCAAGTGGACAGTTTATGTTTTTTTTTTAAAGTTTTGAACTAATTTTTCTTCTAAAAATAACAATTGATTAGATATATTTTTCTTTTCTTGAGACTCATAAAAATGTATACGTTTCTGACCATATGTTTAGTTATAAATAAAATAGAACTTTAAAATTG